AAGAAACGGGGAGGGAGATGAAGAGGAGCAGAAAGGAAGAACAAGGTACCAGTGTCCTGTGGGAGGGACTCAAAAAGGAGGACAGCAAGGGAGACAGGTCAGGAAAGGCATGGTCAAGACCTTAGAGGGCAGCTGGCATCAAGGAGCTGGGGGGCACAGTGGAAAGAAATGGACCAGAGAGGGATTGCACCCAAGATTCCACTGGGGCCTTGGGTGTGATCCCAACAGCCCAAAGTCTCAGCCCTGGAGGAACATGTCAGGAGCACTGCGCCGGCAAAGGCACGGAGCACAGGGTGGGCAGAAAGTGGGGAAGGAGACCGTGGGGCTGAGACCAGACTGTGGCTTCTTCTAAGTCTTACCCCAGCTGGAGACACTTGCCTCGATGGTCTCAGACCTGCTCAGTGACTGAGACAGTGGGGTGGCGTTTGGGTGTTTGTTCCTGGCGTTAACATCCGAATGCTAATAAAGGATACATGTGCTTGTTTTGGCGACTCACGAGTAATAAGCCTCAAATTCCATTTCTGTGTAGCATGGGCATTTCCAATAAAAGGGAATGAAAATATTCAGTTCCCAATTTACAAGAACGATTGGAAGGCGGTGATTCTCAAAAGTCTGGTCTCTGATTCTCTGGTCTGGTCTCAAAAGCAGCAGTAGCATCACCTGGAAATGTGTTAAAAATGCTAATTCTCAGCCCTTACCCCAGATCGATTAAATCAGAACTGGGGTTAGGCCCAGAAATCCATGGTTTAACACGTTTCTCCAGGGCATCCTGATGCACGTGAAAGTTTAAGAACTGCTGCTTTAAAGCAATGGATGGAATGTTTCAAAGCCACGGTCCCCTTTTCTGGAAACCTTCAGCATCTGCTATACTAGTCTTTTATGAGTATCAACAAGCAGCACAATGAGAGAAGAGCTGAAGGCGACTTAGGACAGAGCAGGGTGGTGGGGAAGAGAGCAGGTTCACTGCCTGGATTGGCTTCCTTGGCCTCTGGAGCCTCAGCCTCCCTCATACGAGGGGCAGAGTAGGTACTTACCTTTCCAGGGCCTGGCACAGTGTTAAGTACTCAGTTCTGCTGCTTGTTGTCATTATCATGAAAGCAGAACTCAGAAAGAGCTGATCACCTCATGGAATCAGCTCAGTCGCTAGCTAGGTTCTTCCAAGGCTGGGATTTTGTCTCACGTGCAGGTAGTAATTTTACACTAGCCTTCTTGTTTCTAAGAATTCACATTTCCCCAAGCTCTGCAGAGAGCCCCCAGGGGGCTGAGACTGATCCTTTGGCCTCCTCTTAGCCTCCCCCACTCGGAGAGACTTGCCTGATGGCCTCAGACATCAGGTGCCGCCCTTTGTCGTCAGCCAGGTGCTCAACACCTGAGTTCTCGTTTTGCAGGGAGTAAATGGAATGGCGGGGCAGCCAGTCCTCGAGGGGTGGGTGCTCTTGGAAGAGCAACCCCTCCTTAGGCCCCTTCTACCCTGTGGGTCTCCTTTATGGGTCAGGAAAGCCTAGTGATCCCCTGCAGGGCTCTGTAAGGAAAGGGTGTTAAATCATGGGCTCAAAAGGCTATCTTGAGTCAAAAAGTACCAACAATTATAGATGGAGCTCCAACTTCTATCTCCTCCTCAGTAGGATGGAAGCTCCAGGCGGCCCAGAAGTTTGTCTTATTTCCCGTGTCCCTGCACTGTAAACAGAGCCTGGCATAGTAGACATTAAAAGACTTCGGAATGGGCAAACATTTGCTAAACCAGTGGCTCTGTCATTAGAAGGAACAAAAGGTTGCTCTCTGTCAAGAGGAGGAAACCGAAGGTGTGGGTGGAGCCCACTGGGTTCTGGTGAGCACACCAGGCCGGCCGGGTGCTCAGAGCTACGCAGTGTGGAAGCCCATGGCGCTGGTTAGCTAGGGCCTTTCCACGAGTTGCATCGTGGGCAGGACTCTTACTGTGACTAGGCAGAGGCCATCTAGGGGGTGAGCCTGAAGACACATTCAAGATGGGGGACTCAGATACCTGAAGTCGGGGAAATGCCGGTCACCACAATCCTATCTGCTCCTTGGCAATTCCCAGCTTTCTCTGAGCTGAACTTAAGCCCGCTTTTTCTAGACACCTTGCCTGCCCACCACAGGCCCAGGGGGCCCAGCTGCCCCAGCCTGTGCTCACGAACACAGGGTACAACTAAGCAGCAATGGTGTACGTGTCTCAGCAGTGCCTGGGGGTGGGGGAGTGGGTGCACTACCACCCTTGGGCAAGGGGCTTAATTTTCCAGGTGAGTTCGGACACCCTCACTGTACCAGAGCAGGCGGTTTGAGGGGAACATACTGAGGAAATAATTTGGTTGCATACAGTTACTAAGGCAGAAATACTCACTACCCTGTGTGACAGGCAAGCAGATGAACTTCTTCCTCCCTGAGCATGAAGGTCTGGCTTTTGCTCATATGGATTCCTCCAACACTCGCTACGCCATGGCCATTTCCACCTGCCCCAAACCCATAGAATACCATACTTCCTACTCCCAGCCATTCCCAATCCTGCCCCAGCAGAGAGGCCTTTTTAGTGCCCACAATGCTTATCTATGAGGGGCCTCATGAGGTAATTATTAGTGTGCATCTTTAAGTTTGGAACCTTGAGGGTTTCGCTGAGATTTACTCCCACTTACAGTTCCAGCCAAAGGACAGAAGTCTTGCCTAGTCCATAGAAGTGGTCAGCATGTACCTATTTCTTAATAATCACTGCCCTCCATCATTTAAAGCTTATTATCAGTTACTCATTGATAGAAATGCCCTCTATTTCTGGGTTTATTATAGTTGCTAAAAGCGGGGATGGTGTTTATCCTTTGGAAGGATGCTGGGAAGCATGAAAAGGCCCTGGTCCAGAAGGCCTGAGTTCTAACGGTGACTATCCCACAGCAGGCTAAAGACCTACTCTTTTCCTGGGCCTGAGTAACTCCTCACTATAGAAACGAGGGAGTGTCTTTTAGCTCCATTAGTTGAGGATTCCATTTTGAGAGAATTCACAAAATGACCAAAGGTTTGCTAAAGAAAAATTCTCCCGGATGTAGGGGTATTTTGCAAACATGCTGAGGACGCATGATCATGAGTTAATTAGAACGGTCTGGTAGTACTTTCGTCAAGGTCCTTTTGGTTGCATGTCATAAAAAGTCACTTCAGATTGATTTTGTAGGAATGAGGGCGGGGTCAGTGTGAGTCAGGCGGGCACCCCCAAAGAGTATCAGCAGAGAGAGAGAGGTCAGCTGCTTCAGCAAGTGCTTAGCTACTGGTACTTAAAACAAGGTCGTCTGTAATTGTCTACAATTCAGAGCGACTTTCCCTCCAAATTTCTACCGAACTCGTCACAGCTCCAGAAATGTGCATTACTTACCTTTCATAAAACTCTACCGAATACTGAAAAACCCAAGTTGAAAAAGTTACAAAAAGTTGCTCCCTGCTTTATTGCTCTTCGCTGGACTTGGCTGACATTTGCTTTTTACTTTCCTCAAATCTTACAGGAGTGAAGACATGGCAAGTTACAAAAGGTACCCCCCCTTTTGCACTAACATCTTTTCCAACAGTTTGCATTGAGATCAGCAACATGATAAAAATAGATGCTCAACGGATTCCTCGAGCCTATGAAAATCCTGCCGAGGCCTCATATTTTGTGGGCGCACTGCATAGAGCCTGGAACTCAGTGGTGCTCAAAGTCAGGCTGAATCCAATTCCAATTTTAATGTAAGTACAAGGATCATACTTCTGATCAAATATTAAATTCGCATACAGTATTTATGTATAAATCTGCTTCTGTGTCCCACAGCAGGTGGGGCAGAAGAAAGTAACCAAGTCTTCAACTTGCTATTCTTCTCTTTATAAGAACCTTACGACTACGGACATATCTAGCTCAGAAGCACAAAACGTATACAAAGAAATTACTACATATTAACTGAAAGCACGAGTTTAAACAGCCTAGAGTCTTACAGAAATTGTTATTGCAAAACATGCTCAGGCAGTAAGAGTCACCCAAAACCACATTTTATTCTATGACCTTTATATTGCTTTTCTGTTAAAGGTTGAAGCAAAGTGAAAGGATGGAAATATTTTGTTAAAAGAACAAAATGCGTTAATCACAGCAAATACACCTAATAAAACCTCAGGTCTATGCTGAACACTCCAAACACAAGGCTAAGTCCAGGAGTGGCTCATGTCTGGGTTTTTGTAAAGCAAATGGAAATATTTGGAAGAATCAACACATTTCAGTAGAAGGACCATAAGTGCCCTGAAAGCAGAAAGTTGACACAATTTTAAATATAATTCTCATATATATATATTTTTAAAATCAAACACAATTAAATAGAATATGGTTTAAGTACATGAATACTTCGCTTTAGAAGAATAACAGAGGTGGTACATAGTACCAAAAACTAATACACAGCCTTTTTGCCTCTTCTGTCGATGAAACAGTGTCCCTCTATACAATCATATATTGCAATGAAATAAATTCTCTATTCATTCAAGACTTTCTCAAGGACAGAGGTGATTAATAATTATATATTTATATATATATATCTTTTTTTTTTTTTTTTTGCAAAGTCTGAGCAAAAGCAGTAACATCTAAGAGAACGTTCTTCCCCCTCAGTCACGTGCAGTGAAGAGGCATTGGCCTCGCCTGGCCAGTGAAGTGTGCTTGCCAGTGGGGTGGCCCTGCTGATGGCAGCGAGGTCCGCACCCACTAGCTGACTGAGTGGGAGTGCAGTGAGGGAGTCTCCTACTCTCCTGAAGACAGAATGAAAAAAGGCCACCAGCTGCACACTTCCCAGCTCACAGCAAAGAAAGGGGAGGTGGTCAAGGCTGAGTGTTTTTCCTGCCTCCTCCCACCCCAACCCTTGCTTGCCAATCTTAAAAAAAAAAAAAAAAAGAAAAAGAAAAAGAAAAAACAAAACAAAAACCATACAATCTAGGTATAAACATTTGTCCAAGACATCACAGGGGGAAACTGGAGTGATTGTTACTCTTCCTTCTTTTCCACATGTATTCTGAAGGAAAAGTTAAGTAACTTGGAGCAGAGTATTCCAGAAGAGCAAGTCTTCATGCTCAATGTAAAGGAGACTCATCTTTTTGTTAAGCAGGGGAGATGGTTTTCAGTATACTGCATCTCAGGAGCAATTAAAACGTGAAAATTGCATACTGTCACCAAAGGGAAGGACAATGTCACAGAGACTTGACCTGTCGGCTAGCTTCCTTCCACATTAATGCCTCTGTGAAGGAAGACCGCCAGGGAGCCCTGGCCCCGTTCTGCTGAAGGAGAACAACCCACTAGCACCGCACCGCCGCTCGGAGCTGCCTGGCTCTCGGAGGGGCTGACTCACCTGTGTGTTTAGGAGGCCAAAGCAAAGCACTTCTGGTACCTGCTTTAGGATACTTGGAGGGCTGGGCCACCACTACAGAATGTGCATCAAATATCAGCTCTACGCTCATCTACCTCCCACAGTATGTGGTCCCTGTCTATTCCAGTGGACTAAAACTCTTTCATAAATGGGTTATTGCCATTGGAAAGCTATTAATTTTCTAGTAATGTAAACAATACCACTTTGTCTCTTTATGACTTTCACTGTGTGAGCATCATGTGCAGCAAATATGTCTACATGTCACTCTGCTTATGATGGAAGTCTAGGATTGTCTGCCATTCTTTCTTGGGAACAACAGTGATATATCAGTGAAAAGAAATACAGTGCTTTGTTTTCATTGGCTGTGTTGAAGAATCCAACCAAAGGAAAAAAGTTCTCTTATTTTTCAAAAGCAGATTTCCTTTATCTCAGGTCTTGAGTCATAGCTGAAAAAAAGAAAAAGAAAAGGGTAAGGCACATTTTTATAACCAGTGACATATTATCATTACAGATTAAGAAGGGAACCAACACTCAGTGTTTACTACATACCAGCACTTATGACAGCCAGGCTCTGACTACAATCTTGAAGTAAAATGCTAGAATTATCTTCATTTACATATGAATGAACAGAAGCTTAAAAAGGTCAAGCAACTCACCCTAAGGTTACGTAACAACGACTGGCACCCAGATCTGCTTTTATCTTTCCCTTTTGGCAACAGATACTAGAACAAAATAGCTACTCTTTGATAGAGTAATTCTGTTTCTAGGAATTAACCATAGAGCATAGAGTTATACACACACATTCATTCAAGTATTGTTTGTAACAGGGAAAACCCCAAAACAACTTAAATGACAATCCACAGGGGATTCATTAAATCAGGAGAGCCGTAATACAAAATACTCCAACACCTTTAGAAAGAAGAAAAGAACTCTGATTTCTAGCCACCTAACACCAGGGTCCTGAGGCGGAGACCCTTCATTCACAGCACTGGGGAGGAAACAAACATCCCAGGAGACAAGGTCCTTGGGACCTATACACATGAAACAATTCAGAAATGCTGTGAGGTAGTTTATGTTAAATGCCCAAGTACATTTTACAGACAAGCGTAAAGTAGGACGTTCAAAGCAGAGAGGTTTCAACATGGGCTAGAGAGGCTGGGTATTCTTTCGTGGAAATAGGATGTCTTACGTTCATATAATCATGGAATGAGAATCAGAAGGGGATCTTATGAGACTATCTTGTCCAATTTCTCCAATCTACTGATGAGGAAATAAGACTTGGAAAAGGAAAGTAACTTGCAAAAGGTCACATATGTGCACTACAAGTGGAATGAACAAGTTCTGTTTAGCCTAGCACTTTTTCCACACCAATATGCAGCGGATCCCTGAGGTTGCGCGGGACAGAGATCTTAGGCAGCCAAAGAGAAGGGCCAGCAAAGCTTAAAAACAAAATACAGCAAAATATATCTGTGTATCCTAAAAATAAAAAGCACATGGTAATAAAATCTGAACAATGAAAAGCCTTAATTTTATTTTAATTTTTTTAAAGAATTTTTTATTTATTCATTTGAGACAGAGAGATACAGAGAGAGTAGGAGCAGTGGGGAGGGGCAGAGGAAGAGGGAGAAGCAGACTCCCTGCTGAGCAGGGAGCCTGATGCGGGGCTCAATCCTAGGACCTGGAGATCATGACCTGAGCCGAAGGCAGACACTTAACCATCTGAGCCACCCAGGTGCCCAAGCCTTAATTTTAAATATCTGCTTTCTAAAATGGTGCCTAAAAGGACATTTTCATATTGTTAAACATTTGATCCTCAAAGATAATGGGGAATCACAAATTCATACACCTTACCTTGCTCTTTGCTACTTTAGGTTTGCCTGAGCCAGTGAAGATAATTATAGATAAAAATTATCACCCTTACACAGAAAAGAGGATAAGATCTGCACAAGTGAACAGAACTTTGGTGTGAATCAGCTCAGTGCAAAGTTCAAAATTAAACCAAGCTCTGGTAATGACAATTCTGAGAAACAGTTGGCAAAGAAAGGGGGATGCTGGGTCTCAATCTAAATGCAAGCCCTCAAACTACTGTGGGTTATGTGGGATGTCATCTGAACATATTTAATTCTGATTCCCAATTTTTGCTAATGTAAATAAGAGATGAGTAGTTTAATGCCTTCATAAGGAACATGAGTTAGAGAAAGTTAAAACTGCTGAGGAAACTGGGAATGTCTGGCTTGAAGAGAGGATCTGTAGTGATGCCCCCTCTTTCAACCCGGTATTGGTAATTCATCTGATCTCTTCTCCCCCGCCTCCCCCTGCCCCCAGTTAGTTTTGTTAGAGGTTTATTAATTGAATTGGTCTTTTTAAAGAGCCAGATTTTGATTTTTCGCTATTATCTATGTAATTGATATTCACCCCCCCCTTTTTTTAAAAAGCCCGCCCAACATAGGGCTTGAACTCATGACCCTGAGATCAAGACCTGAGCTGAGATCAAGAGTTGGATGCTTAACTAAGCCCCAAGTACTCCGGATATTCACTTTTATCTTTAATATTTCCTTCTTTCTTTGAATTTAATTTACTCATTTCCTAGTTTAAGATAGAAGACTGAAAACTTTTTTTTTGGTCTATTTAATATAAACATTTAATGCTATAAATTTCCTTCTAAGGACTGCTTTAGCAGTATTCCACAAATACTGTTGTATTTTCATTTTAATTCAGTCCAAAGTATTTTCTAACTTCCATTTTGATTTCTTCTTTGACCAATGGAAGACTAAGAAGTATGCTGTTTAATTTCCAAATACTTGGGGGATTTTCCACATATCCTTCTGTAATTGACTTCTTGTTTAATTCCTTTGTGGTGAGAAAACAGACTGTATGATTTCAATCCTTATAATTTAATGAAACTTGTTTTATGGCCCAGAATATGGTATATCTTGGTAAGTGTTCTATGTGTAGGCCAAAAGAATATGTACTCTGCTGCTACGGAATGCACTGTTCTATAAATGTCCCTTAGGTCCAGCTGGTTGACAGTGTTGTTCTATCCATTACTGAGACAGGGCTGATGAAATCTTCAACAGTCATTATGGATTTGTGTATTTTCCTTATAGGTCTATCAGTTTTTGCTTTGTGCGTTTTCAAGCTGTTATTGGATGCATACACATTTAGGATTCTTGATGTCTTCTTGAGGAACTGACCTTTCATATAAAACGTCCTTTTTGCCTGGTAATAGTCCTTGTTTTGAAGTGAACTCTGACTTGTAATACAGGCAGCCCAAATTACTTTGATAATGTCTGCATGGTCTTTCCTTCCCATCCTTTTACTTTTAGCCTATGTCTTGATATTTAAAGTGGGCTTCTTACAGATAGCAACTCAGTAGCTTCTGCCATTAGCTATCTAATCAGACAGTCTCTGTTTTTATTTAGACTATTTAGACCACTTACATTTAATGTGGTGATTAATATGATTTCATTTAAACCTACTATCTGGCTATTTGTCTTTCATTTGTCCCACAGGATTCTTCTCCTCTTTCCCCCCTTTTCTTGAGTTCTTTTGTATTCAGTATTTTTTTTAGGGTGTGGTTTCTATAGATGGCATTTTCTCCTGATTGTGGGTTAAGTTCTTCTGCTTCCTTGCATACCCAGTAACGCAGTGGATGGTAGACACTGTTATTTTTATACTGTTGAGTGCGGAACTTCATTGTGTTCCTTTAAAGAGGGTTGGCCTCTGTTCTGACATGCAGTTGTTAAAGAGCAGTCTGATCCTTTCCAAAAGTTGCTTTTAAGCTTGGTTAAGGTGCTTTACTCTAGGGCCAATTTAGCTCCAGTGGTAAGGCATGTTTCTGAGGACACTACCCAATGTCTTGTATATTACAAGATCTATTCCATACTGGTCAGTAGGGATGTGACCTATTCGTAACCCCATGTTTCAGGAATTGCTCAGCCTACTAATTTCTGGTACTTTTTTTCCTCCCCATGGGCATTTTCACCCAAAACATGTATAGATCAGTATTTGGCCAAGGACTTCAAGGGACCTCCTTAAGGAGATAAACTCTAGAGCTTTCTTTCTGTGAAGCTCCTTTTCTGGTATCCTGCTCTGACTTCTAGACACCTTGGGCTATCCAAACTTTGATTTCTGACTCCTTAATTCAGCAACACTATGAACTCTGTTAGGCTCTCCCCTCCCTGAACTTTGAAAACTGCTTCTAGGCAGTGAGCTAGGGATCATGTCAATGTTACCCTTCTTTCAAGGATTACAGACCTCTACTTGCCTGTTGTCCACTATCTGGAAATAGTTGTTTCATTTAGTTTGTTAGTTACCTAGTTGTTCATGATGAGAGGTCAGTTTCTAGAGCAGCTAATCCTTCAAAAGCAGAGGAATGTCCCTTATGTCCTTTTTTATTTTTATATATCTGGAATCTAATTCTTCTCAGTTTTATGCAAGCTAGATCAGAACACAAGTCATCCTTACCTTTGTAGACTTCTCTAAAGGTTGATCATATTGTGCCTGTTGCATAACATCACTGACTATCATTTTAGCAATCTTCCAAGCTAGCTCTTCTTGGGCCTAAAACAAAACAAAACAAAACAAAACAAAAAACCCAATTCAACTGTTGTTAATGGTCATTCATTAGAAAAATCAAGACTTATATTATCAGTGCTCTAACACAACTATATATGCATATCATGTCTACTTCTTTGGATAAGAAGCACATTCCATGTATGAACGGACCTGGGCCACCCTCTGGCTACATTAACATGCTGTTCATGCTCTGTCTTCTAGGGTCAGCTACTGGGTACCCAACATCATGACTATTTTCATGTTAGATGATCAAAACAAAAATTTTTCTTTTTCCACTCACATCTCTCAATGTACTTAACTAACTAGTCAAAAAGCAAGTCTCTTCTGAAAACTGACAGTGAGGAAGATTTGAGCTTTTTGTTTCTACTGATGCCTGCTGGTTGATGAAAACTTGAAGGCATGGATATTTTTCAGTGGCCAGAGTCTCTGAACTAAAGATCCTGCACTGCCCCCATGAGGCAATTGTTAGATGCTAAAAAGGGCCCGTCCTTTCTTGTTACATCCTGGATAAAGGAGCAATGTGCCACACCATTTAAACATGGGAACTAAAGAAAGAGAAAACCTGAAACCTTACTTACACAAGGTGCCACTTATAAACAGGAATTTCTTTACACTAAAAGTAGACTTTACCTCGTCAGTATTTCCTTGCACCCATTTCTTCATAGCTTGTGAGAACATGAATCCTAGTAAACAAAACCAAAACTGAATGTAGATTTCTTGCACAATTTTACATTTAAAAAGTGCTCTCATTCAAAAGCTACTTCCGAAATGGATATTCTTTCTTTGTACAATCTCATCTAAAACATTAAGGAATATTACCATTAATCAAAACTGATTATCTCCATTAACAAGTATTTAACTTGCAAACACCATGGTTCAAAAGACTGAAAGGCTGTTTCAGAGTTCTGGACTTTTCTTTCTTTTATTCTCCTCTATCATCTAGTGTTAGATTTTCAGCAAACATTAAGCAAGCAAAAGAAAACTGTGACCAGGATTTGGTCTTAGATAAGAATCCAGCAATACATCAGGAGACATCAATCTACTTGCTATATATCCAAACTTTTCACACCAGCTCCTATACAAGAGGGCTTCCAGTAGAGATTACATTGTTAATGCTCAATCTCTGGTCTGTATAAATTAGCTGGGTAAGAGCAGAGTTTTAAATAGCCATGTTGTGTCTGAGCCACAGCACACCTCTATCTCCTAGGAGATACACAAAAACCTATCCACATCTGTACTCAGGTGCTGAGGAATCACCAGGACATAGGCTAGTCACTTTTTCCATGAAGGAAATACACAGCTTATCCTTTCATCAACACAAATAGGCTCCTGTCCTAACTCTGCTTTAAATCAAATGGTTGGTAGATTATTTCTTAGGCAAGGTCCTGATTAATTCAACAGCTGGATTAGAAGTAAAAATAGCATTCATGAAAAGTACAAAACCTGGATCCATTCCCTTACTAATTTTCAGTATTAGCTAAAAGTCTGAATACTGGTCTAGTTAAACTTTATGCCCAAGCAGTCAACAGGGGCCACAATATTACATGTTCCACCTAAAGTTGCAAATGGCTGTTGAACTGCCCACTTGCTGCTTCCTCTTCAGGCTCACCCAAAGAGTCACACTGTTGACAGTCTCCTACCTGCTTAACACTCTTTCTCCTTTTCTTCTTAATACCTACATGTTTGACTCCTGTCTGTGCATTCCTTCCTCCTTTAATAGAGAACTTCTCCAGGACCCCATTCCCCAGCCTTCTTTTCTCCTTCAACATATATTTTTTGGGGTATCTCATCCCCTCCTGTGACTTTAACTTCCTTCCAAATGTAAATAATCAAAAAACTTGTCCTTGGTGTTAAATTCATACTTACAAATTACCCTAAGGTGTCTCAAACTTAATGTGTTCCAAACTGAGCTTGTCTGTTTCCTACCTACTCTTTTTCTTATATCCTCTATCTCAGAAATTTAATCCTTTATTAAAAATTCACATCATAAATTTTCACCCAGAGAACCCATGTTAAAAAACTCAATCCACCTTCTTCATTCACTCTCTATATGAAATCTGTCACCAAATTCCACCTTGAATGCAATTTCTTGAATTCCCCTTTCGAAGTCTTAGAAATCTGACCTTTCTAATTCCTGCTAGCACTACCTAGCTTCAAATCCTCTTCTTCAATCTATATTACTAGCTAATTCTACTACCTGACTGGTTTCTCTGATACCAATTCATTCCTGTACCCACTGCCAGAAAAATGCGTCTAGTTAGTACTCTGCTAATGCTGGGGGGCACCTGGCTAGCTCAGTGGGTGGAGTGTGTGACTCTTGATCTCTGGGCTGTAAGCTTGAGCCCCACATTGGGTGTAAAGATTACTTAAAAATAAAATCTAGGGGCACCTGGGTGGCTCAGTAGGTGAAGCATCTGCCTTTGGATCAGGTCATGATCCCAGGGTCCTGGGATGGAGCCCTGCATGGGGGCTCCCTGCTCAGCGGGAAGTCTGCTTCTCCCTCTCCCCATCTGCCTCCCCCCCCCCCCCCCCCCCGCTCTCACTTGCAGGTTCTCTCTGTCTCAATAAATAAATAAATAAATAAATAAACAATCTTAAAAAAGGAAAAGAAAAAGAATCCCTGGGGCGCCTGGGTGGCTCAGTCGTTAAGCGTCTGCCTTTGGCTCAGGTCATGATCCCAGGGTCCTGGAATCAAGCCCTTCATCGGGCTCCCTGCTCCACGGGAGGCCTGCTTCTCCCTCTCCCACTCCCCTTGCTGTGTTCCCTCTCTCACTGTCTCTCTGTCAAAAAATAAATAAAATCTAAAAAGAATCCCTGATACTTACACAACAGGAACCCAGGCTTCTTACTACAACACGCCAGGGCTTTCACAACTAAGTGCAATTTCATCTCCCACCACTGTATCCAAGCACTAGGACTAGCCACTACACATGCTCAAAACATCTTTTACAATTCCTTGTTAGACTTTCTCCTAGAGGATTAGAACGCAACTTTTTTTTTTGGAAAAGATTTATTTTAGAGAGTGAGAGCATGTGTGCACGTGCACAAGAGGAGAGGGGAGAGGGAGACAGAGAATCTCTAGCAGACTCCCAGCTGAGCATGGAGCCAGACCCAGGGCTTGATCTCATGACCCTGAGATCATGGCCTGAGCTGAAATCAAGAGTTGGATGCTTAACCAACTGAGCCACCCAGGCACCCCTGAATGTAACTTTTAAAATTACTTTGCTTGCCCTGAAAGCGAAGTTCTCATACTCTCAGAAGCCTCTGAGATACACAGTCTCAAAACTCAACCCTTTCCTCTGTGCGCTATCAGTATTTCAAAACCCAAACTGAAACTATAGGCTAGTAAATAATGAACATTCTTGCAGCTATCCTCAGCAAGGGAGGAGGAGAAACGGAGCTGAATTGTCACAACAGTATTCTGAGCCAAAGCCCCGAGATTGCTATTAATCTGCTCTGTGATCCCTAACAAGTTATAATTTCCCGGATCCTCAACTGCTTCATTTCCAGAATCAGGAGGTGGTGTCCACAGAGGTTGCTAAGAAATCTCCGTTTACTTGGGGTCTGAGAAGGCTTGGGAATAGGGTTCTGTGAGTATCCTCAGAATAATAAAGTAATCTGGATAAGATTACTAATCTGGATAAGATGAGTGTCTGTGTCAGTTCAAAAAATAATACTTTTCTTAAATTAAATAAATATGATCCATAATCTTACTACCTAATCTCTGCAGAAATTCCTCTAGATTAATTAATTAAATCAACAAATAATTAATGCCTATCACGTGGCAGGCATAATTTTAGAACCAGGGAATACAGTGCCAAATAAGATAGACAAAATCCCTGCTCTCAGAGAGGTGATATTATACTCATGGAAGAGAAATAGATGATAAATAAGTATGCAAATAAATGAGTAAGATACCAGACCGTGCTAAGAAAATAAAGTAGTAGTATGTTAGTGGTACAGATGAGCTGAGATCATGTGGGCTGGGAAGTCCTCTCTGAACAGAGCATACTTGCCACGAGAACGAGCTCATGAAAGCCATGGCAGGGGGAACAGCAAATGAAGAAGCCCTAACAGAGAAGGAGATTCTAGTTAGACCCTAGTCTGTGAAGCAGAGAGTGGTGCAAGGCAAAGTTGTAGAGGCAGGCAGGGAACATTCACAGGTCACAGCAAAGAGGCATCCAAAGCTATGGGAGAAAAGATAGGGGGGTAATGAAGCAGTAAAGCATGTAGGATAAGAAAAGTCAAAAAGCAGAGGAAAAGGTATAATGAAAAGTCGAAGGCGTCTCCCTCTACTCAGCCTTAAACTATGTTACATGCTTTGTGTATCCTTTCAGGAAATATATATATAGTCTTCTACAAATATACACAAGATCACCTACGATGTAGTCTAACCAAAAGGTGTAACTCAAATCGACTTTAGGTACAAATCCCAGTTTATAAGAAACACAGGTAAGAAAGGAATAAGCTGAATAGTATAACCAGGAAAATCCAGAAGGTTGGGCATTTTATAGAATAACTAGCATGACAGGCTTGTGAAGTCAGGATTATAAAAGAGGGACTAAGCCAGATTAAAATAAACTCAGAGTACACCTTCTTATTTGTATCCTTATCATTTAGCATCATCTCTGGCCTTCTGAGTAATGAATCGAATCTGCTGGCTCCTGTATTAGGTCATTTACTTACCACAAAAATACATGACTTAAAGACACGTCTGGACAGCTAAAGGAAGCACTGGGATATATGGATGCAATTACTCAAACTGCAGAAATTACTATTAATTACTCTATGTAGGCATGTCTCAATTACATTAATAATGCAAGTACCTTGATGGATGAGCCTGCTGGTAGATATATAATCCTGTTGCCTCTACCTTCAAACACAACCCAACTGTGACCATTCTTCCGTGACCTAAATCACAACCACCACCATCATCCTTTCCTTAGACCATGGCAAGAATGTTGTTTCCCTGCTTCTCCTTTTAACCCCTACATTCTATTTTCCAAAGAGCTGCCAAAGCCACACCTTTAAAACCTGAATCACGGGGCGCCTGGGTGGCTCAGTCGTTAAGCGTCTGCCTTCGGCTCAGGTCATGATCCCGGGGTCCTGGGATCGAGTCCCGCATCGGGCTCCCTGCTCTGCGGGAAGCCTGCTTCTCCCTCTCCCACTCCCCCTGCTTGTGTTCCCTCTCTTCGCTGTGTCCCTCACTGTCAGATAAATAAAATCTTAAAAAAAAAAAAAAAAATAATAATAATAAAACCTGAATCACATCCTGGTACTCCCCTGCTCCAACTTCTAACACTTTCAACATCATACCATGGTCTGTGAGAACCCTCCCAACCTTACTTGCCTCCTCCACTCATCCCTCTGCTCACTCGTCTTCTGCCACACTGGTCTTGCTGCTGCTTGATCATGCTGGACTCTTAAGCTTCTTGTTCTTCTTCCTTCTGCCAAGAAGCCCTTCCTGCAGATCTTGCCAGGGCTTACTCCCCCATTTTGCTCAGGTCTCTACTCAAAATGCAACTTCCTTGGTGAGACCTTTCTTCACAGCCATTTTCTTTTTTTTTTAAGTAGGCTTCATGCTCAGTGTGGAGCTCAATGTGAGGCTTGAACTCACGACCCTGAGATCGAGACCTGAGCTGAGATCAAGAGTTGGATGCCTAACTGACTGAGCCACTCAGGCACTCCTCCAGACAACCACTTTTATTTTTTTCTTTTAAAGATTTTATGAGTTTATTTATTTTAGGGAGAGAGAATGTGAGCAGGGGGAAGGGGAGAGGGAGAGAGAGAATCCCAAGCAGACTCCACATTGGGCACAGAGCCCGATGTGGGGCTTGATCTCTCAACCCTGAGATCATGACCTGAGTCAAAATCAAGAGTCAGATGCTTGGGGCGCTTGGGTGGCTCAGTCGCTGGGCGTCTGCCTTTGGCTCAGGTCATGATCCTGGGGTCCTGGGATCGAGCCCCACATCGGGCTCCCTGCTCCATGGGAAGCCTGCTTCTCCTTCTCCCCTGCTTGTGTTCCCTCTCTCACTGTCAAATAA